ATTATTCTTACACAATCCGTTCTTGTTTAGTAAATCAGTCTCAAAACAAGATCAAAAAGAGTTTTTGGCTGATATAAGATTTTAAAACTTGGTTAGGTGGACATTTTTGGCAGTGTATCTATTACGTCTGAAATAAAAGTAACAAAATTTACAGTAAAACTTTTGTAGGACTAAGTTGATTTGTTGAATTTTATATGCCAACCATGTAAATAAAAAAGCTACAGTTTTGACGTGTCTTTGTTCTTCATATAAATTAACTCCCTAAACTGGCTGTTCCATTACAGTGCAAATTTTCAGTAAACTCCACATGACCCAACATTCTTTATTTCAGGAACCACTTTGTGTTTTTGCTGAAGCCGTAGTTGTTGTTTTCTCCATACAGGAAGTCTCACCAACGAAACAACAGCCCTCAACCCCCCGGTGACAATGAGGGGTAAGACACTTTCTGAACTTCAGGTTGACAATCGACCATCGGTTCTGACTTCATTTCATCACAATAGGTTCAGATATAACAGAAACAAGTCTGTGTTCACGCAGAGAAAAAAATAATTTGACAGTTGTTTTTAAGGTAATATTCATTGTGTACATTTGTTTACTTTTACACATAATAAAATTTCACTGTGGTTTTTAAGTCTTTTTTTTTTCAGAACTCGAGTGTCATTCAGGAAATGAACAAAGGCATCAGCCATTCTAATTTTCTYACTAAATGATCTGAAATTCTGCTGTTCCTGCATGAAACTGCTCTGTTCTGTCTGCACGCACTGTGCCACTGCTCTGTTTTTAAACTATAGCTCCACAAGTTAACAGAGATTTGCATGTCAGACAAACAGGAACTATACGTAAACTTAGTACAATCAGTCTTTAAAACCACAGCAGTAACATACTCACTAAAGAACATATGTTTAGTTTTGATCATGTACTCAAATGCTGACTTTAAAATAAACTGTAATATACATTCTCTCCCACTGAAACCATCAGTACAGATCTGCAGAGCAGATCTTCCAGGAGGACCACACGAGGAAACGTAGCCCCCAAAAAGAAAATCAAACATTTTGTTTAATTTATTATTTTGTTTAGGATAACTGAGGAGTAGAAGTCACTTTCAGATGATTGAAATGTAAGAAAGCTTTTGTTTTTCCTCTGATGCCCAAAATATATTTTTAATGTCCAGTGATATTAGCACTAATAAATAGATGCATAGTCGGTTCCTAATCTGTATTAGCACTTTTAAAAATGTGTTCATGTTCATCAGTAGTTTTATTCTGTATGTATTCTATGTTTACCTGCCTGAGAACTGTGTGAAAACTAAAAACTGGTACCACTGGCTAAATTTTGYACAGCACAGTTGCCTCACTGTCAGTGCAGGGGACCCTCTAAACTTTCTGGCCTTCACCTGCTGGACCCCCTGACCACATGTAAATTTTAATGAACATAAAATCAAGAGGAGAGGCTTCAGTGAACCAATTTGTGACTGTGCCGTTCTCAGGAACTGTAAGAGAAAAATGAAAATGAAAACAAAGTAGTCCTAAATCACACTGTAGTGTTTTCTAACAGCTTTTATGTAGCAACAACATAATAAAGCTCCTAAAATTCTGTTAGTTCAATGAAAATTAATATTCAAGCTGTGTCTTGTTTGTGTTATACTTCCTTCCTGGGCATTTGTCGTTTTACTACCGTCTTGGCATCTTGACAGCAGACTATTTTAAAATAAAAGTAGTTCCCTTGAAATAACTGGTTCCTTCTTTTTCCCTTTTAATCACCTGACAAGCTGAGCAACAAAACAAGTGAAAGGGGTTACTGAGCAGGCGCATGAGGCCATTGTTAAAGTGTGGGTTTGAGTCGTGGCCAAAGGGAGAGGAAAGCAAGTGGCACTGTTTCCACATGGAGGAGGAACAGTGAGGCAAGACACTTTCAACTTTTCTAATAAGTTGGGTTTTAGTTTCATCCTGGTTTGAATTTATGTTTAAAATACCCAACACACACCCAATCACCTGTTTTAGAAGCGAATTCACTATAATTA